CCCTGCCGGCGCGAGCTACACGGGCGAGACCTCGCTCGAGCTTCACATCCACGGCGGCGTCGCCACGGTGAGCGATGTGCTGGATGCGCTTGGCTCGATCCGCGCTAGCGAGGGGAGGGTGAGGCCGGCCGAGGCGGGCGAGTTTACGCGGCGGGCGTTTGAGCATGGGAGGCTGGATCTGGCGGGTGCAGAGGCGCTACATGCGCTCGTGCAGGCCGAAACATCTATGCAGCGCAGAGTGGCCGTGCAGGGCACAGCGGGGTTCCAGGCCAAGAGGTACGAGGCCATGCGTGCGCAGCTGCTCGAGGCCATGGCGATGACAGAGGCGCTCATCGACTTTAGCGACGAAGACGGCGTGGAGGACGGGACGTGGGTGGCGGCCGTACGATCCGTCGAGCAGATGGCCGAGATGCTCGGCGATGAACTCGGCGTCGAGGGCGCGCAGGGCCAGCGTGGCGGCAAGGGGACGCGTCATGTCGGCGAGATCGTAAGCGACGGCATACGGCTGGCGATCTATGGTCCGCCGAACGCGGGCAAGAGCTCGCTGCTCAACCGGCTGGCGGACCGCGAAGCAGCGATCGTGAGCGACGTCCCGGGCACCACGCGCGACGTGCTCCAGGTGCACCTCGACCTCGGCGGGTACAAGGTGATCGTATACGATACGGCCGGTCTGCGCACCGATGCGTGCGACGAGATTGAGCGCATCGGCATATCCCGTGCGCGCGACGCTGTCCAAGCCGCCGACCTCTCCCTCCTCGTCATCCCTGCCGACTCCACCTCCACACCACCCCTCCTTCGCCCGGACTCGTATACGGCGCACGATGCCGATCTCGTGTTTATCAACAAAACCGACCTCCACCCCGAGTGCCCTCGAGTGTCCGGCGCAAGAACTTGGACGGGCAGCGTCAAGACCGGCGCGGGTCTCGCCGAGCTCATGGCCGACCTGGCGCAGCTGATCAAGACAAAGTACGCCATCAGCACCACCGAGGCCCCGCTCATCACCCAGACCCGCCACCGCTTCCTCCTGCTCGAGTGCCTCGACCACATCAACCGCTTTCTCGCCCTGGCCCGAGCGCGCGATCCCGACCTCGTGCTTGCAGCCGAAGAGCTGCGCTACGCCGCCAAGAGCATCGGCAAGATCACGGGCAACCATCTCAGTCCCGACGAAATCCTCGGCTCCATCTTCTCCACCTTCTGCATCGGCAAGTAGATCTCTGCAATTGCAAAGTGTATGGTACAAGATGGCGCTACGGGTCGGCGGTGGGCGGAAGGGAAGCGTGTGCGAGTGGAGACGGGCGTAGCGTCGGGGTGCGGTCGGTGCCCAGTGCGCCAAGTGATGCCACTGGTGTAGCCGTCGCACTGTCCGTGTCGGAGGGCTCCGCGCCGCGTGGTTGCGCAGGAGTGGTGTCGCCGGGAGTGCGATCGGTGGGCACAAACTGCGTGTACAAGAACGTCGCCTCGCCCACCATGCTTCTGCACAGCTCCAGCAGGTGTTCGAGCGACGCCACGATTTCCTCCAACAGAGCATGCTCGGCCAGGATGAAGAAGACGGCAAAGTCGACATTGCGTTTGCGCGTCCCAGCCGACGCGGGCGAGTCGTTGCCCGACACGGCGCTCCTCTTGAGCTCTTTCGGCGTGATCGTACCGCTCTTGAGCCCGAGAGCCGGGCTGGCCGACTGGATCGAGTGCAACCCATGCTTTCGATGTCGCCTTCGCACGCTCGCCAGGATCGCCTCGTGATTCAGACTGTCCAGCGCATGGAAGGCGTCGGGCACGCCTTGCGGACGCACGGGTTCCTGCTCCTCGAGCATCGTGCGCAGCTGTTCCGCCACTGCCTCGGTGAGCTCCTCGAGCGCCAACCGCGGGCTGGGTAGATACTGTGGCAGCGGCGCATGCGTCTGCAACGCCTGCCCCGTAGTCCACAGCACCAGCAACACCGATGCGATCAGACTCTGCCTTAGCTCCAGCACATTCACCACCGCCTGCTGTCGTACCGACCTTAAGCCATGCTCCCTGCACCGCCGTAGACCCATGAGCAGCTCGAGGATCATCTGTAAGTGGTCGAGCAGCTCCGACAGCACGCGCGTGCGCTTCGGCTGGAGGCTCACCTCGATCTTCATGATATCCACCAGCCCCCTTGCCTGTCCCACGCGCCGCTCGATGCCCACCTCGAGCCTCTCGAATGCGGCGTTGGACTTGTGGCTCGACGTCAGCCCGCCCGAGAGCATCTGGCGCGACAGACTCAGATAGAGCGACTGCAGCTGCGACGTGATCGACGACACCCTACGCACCAGCTCCAAGCGCGCGTGGATTGGCCAGACAAACAGATTCACCACCAGCGCTGCAATGATGCCAAAGAAGATCATGTAGCCGCGATTCCAAGCGACGTGCACCACGCTTTCGCCACTCTCCTCGGTGGGCAGCAGCGCAACGATGGGCAGCGTGAGACCCATGACGATCCCCACGCCCTGGAGCTGCGTAAAGAGCATCACGTACGACGGCGGCAGCGTGGCGAGCGTGAGCAGGAAGGCGAGGGCATAGTCGTTTCCGCGGCTCACCTCGTTGATCACCAGGCCCAGCAGACTGCCTGAGACGGTGCCGAGGATGCGGAAGAAGCTGGTGCGGATGCTGGCGCCCGTGGATGTCTCGAGGCAGAAGAGGTACGAGATGGCCATCCACTGACCGCGCTGTTGCAGCCACCACTGCTTAGCCTCCCCCGGCGCCAGCCACGACGGCAGCGTGAGCAGTACAAACCCGCCGGCCAACTTGATGCCGAACTTGATGTGGCGGCTGTGTCGCAGCGCGCGGATGCGTCTAGACAGTGCCATGCGCCACCTCGTCGCGCGGCGCGTGCGCAACACGCTGTGCATCGCCCGGAGCTTGGTGCTGCACCACGAGCGGATGGTGCTGATGCCATTGCTCACGCGCGACTGCGTGCGATCCAGCCGCGGCGCGTCGCCGAGCACAAACGTCTCGGCATCGTCGTTGAAGTAGTCGAGCTGCTCCGACTCGGCCCGCAGCTCGGGGGACGGCGGCTCGTCTTCGTGCAGCAGCGCGTCGACGCGTTCGTCCATGAACACCATGTCGTCGCGAACACCGAGCTCGCTATGGCCGAGCCAGTACTGCAACTTGGCCGCCGACATGCGCAGCCTCCTATGCGGGCTGCTCTTCCATGCAGCCGCAAGCGCCAGCCCTCCCGTCAAGCACGCGTCGACGAGCAGTCCGACCTCGAGCAGAGACACCATGAGGAACGAGATCTGATACGCCTCGGTGCGGAACATGTCGGCAAGGACCTTGGGCTGGCCCACGCTTGCTTGCGCTTGGTGTGAGTCCGGCAGGTGGACGCCCAGACCCGAGCCGACGGGCATCCCGGCCTTCGGATGCGCTTGCGATGCGGACGTGGCGTTGAGTTCGGCGCGCGACTCTCGAACGGCATCGTTGAGGGCCGCCTTGAACGTGCGGATCGACGCGCGCAGCCTCTGCTTTTGCTGAGCCAAGGCGAGGTGCGGGTCATCGCT